GCGTCAGGGCAAAGCTCCATGGTACCACCCAGCAGCGCTAGCAGTTTAAGTGCCACAACAGGAAACAATCGAGTGAATCGCATTCAGCAGACACTGCTGATTTTTGCTTTGGATGAGGATGACGAGTGGTCTTCAGATGCGCATGATTTCTTTGGTTATTCTTGCAACATGATCCGCAGCTGTCTTGCATTCGATATTAGTGATGAGGCAGGTTGTGAATTTGTGCCAGCAGATTTGCCTGTGTATGATCTGCGCTCATGTGTGACAGAAGACTTCACAGTTTGCAGGATGGAGCAGGCATTTGCATGTGTGAGGACAGTTGGTAGGAGGACCTGTGGCGCAGACCAATTCGACTGGACGGACATCGTGTTGGATAGCGGCAGTGATGTCAGCATGCTTCCAGTGGTATTTGGAGATGCTGGTAGCGCGACATCAAATCCAAACATGACTTTGTTTGATGCTCAAGGCGGAGTGATCCCTGTTCAGGACTGCAGGCGAGTTGACATTGAGTTGCAAGCCAGTGGTGGAAGCAATCCAATTTTGCGAGAAAGCTGTCATGTTGGAGATGTTGGGCAACCCCTCATGTCATTTGGAAGAATGATGCTCAAGCAGTGGAGCATTCATGCAGATCCTGAAGGAGGACATCTCCTCACACATCCCTCAGGTGTTTCGGTGCCAATTTTTCTGAAGGGACGATCCTTGGTGGTGAAAGGACGTGTTCGGGCAATCAGATCTAGAGCAGAAACATTGCCAGCTACTCTGGGAGACGAGTTGATGAATTTGCCGCAAGGATGGAGTGAGCTGTCCAATGGTTTTCCTGTGTTTTGGGGATACAGCTTGGAGTATGCAGAACCCACCTTGAACTTCAAGGAGACAGAATGGAAGCGTCGCACCACTTTGGTTTTTGAGAACAACAAATGGTTTCTCTTGGAGTTTTGTGAGCTCATCAGCAATGACAATTTCGGTGGAGAGCTGTTGAATCCTGCACTGGACACCCAGGTGGTGGTGATATTGACCAAGGGCCACAGCACGCCTGAGGAGATGATGTTCGAGATTGGTGATGCGCTTACCTCAGAGGGCATTGATCAGCCCAGCCAGTCATCTCGACCTGAGCGTGCTCTGAATCTGTCAGGCCTGAGATTTTGCCTCAGGTGTATGTGGCTGAGGCCCCGCGGGCCAAGGATGAGCCAGCGTTGCCGGCACCTGCGGCAGAGCAAGCTGTTGCAATTGCAGTAACTGTTGAGGATGACAGCTTGGTGGTGAATGATGTGCGTCTTACAGAGAATTCGCCAATTGCAGTATTGAGAGCAGCCTGCAAAACATGTGACATCTCGCAATCTGGTGGAAAGAGGAAGTTGTTTAGACGTTTGGTTGCATTCCATGGGAAGCAGCAGTTGGTTTTGGCGAAGGAGGTTGCAAATCAAGTTGATGCTCAACATGTGAGGCAGCCAGATGCCCCCATTTTGCATTCGCCTCCCAAGTCTGCAGCAGAGATCCAGAAGCACCTCATGACACACATTCCATATGCTCCATGGTGTGAAGCTTGCATTTCGGGCAAGGCGCGTCCTGACAGGCACGAAGAGGCCAGTGGCAAGGCCGTTGAGAGGGCTTTGCCTGTGATCAGTTATGATTTCTTTTACACTGGAATGGATCCTCAGCCGGTGGATGAGCAAGGAGAACATGACCACACCAAGAACTTGTGTTGCTTGGTGATTACAGATTCGGCCTCAGGCTTTGTGCATTGCGTGCCCGTGGACAGCAAACTGAAGCGTTTCAGACATATTGTGGTTGAGATTGTTAGGTGTATTTCCACTTTGGGATATTCAGAAGTTTGTCTGAGAAATGACCAGGAGCCGTTCCTCTTGCGTGTGCAATCACAGGTGCAAAAGGTCAGAAGAGAGCAAGGCCATCGCACCATTTTGGAAAATCCCGCAGTGGGCGACTCTCAAGGCAATGGCAGAGTTGAGAGTGCAGTTCATCAGATCAGGCAACAGGCCAATGTGCTTTTGCATCATGTTCGAGAGCGCACCGGGTTGGAGATCAATCACCAACACAGCATATTTGCTTGGGCATTTGTGCATTCAGCTTTCCTGATTTCCAGGTTTGCCACGCGCGCAGGGTGCACACCTTTCGAACTCATTGCAGGGCCACCATTTCAAGGAGCATTTGCAGTTTTTGCAGAACCAGTCATGGCTTATGTAGCAGTTTCTGGCATGCCTAAGGGCAAGGCAAAGTGGCAGCGTGCAGTCGCGCTGACCAAATCCGGTTTGAATGATATGTACATTGTAGCCTGCAATGGGACAATTCGTTTGACAAGGTCGGTGAGACGATGCTTTGACAACTGGAAAGATGCGTTGGAGCAATTTCAGCAGGTGAATGTGAAACCCTGGGAGTTGGAAGGAGTGATTGGCGCTCGCATGGCGCCCTCTGTCTTGAAGAAAGCAGAACCTTTGGCATTGGGAATCCCGTTGGGTACTCTGGGACGAGGAGATGAAGCAGCCTCAGATCCACCCAGTGAAAATGAAAAGGATCAGCGTCAGAAGGATGCTGAGCAGGCGGGGAACAAGCAGGCGGGGGAGAAAGCGACCCTGAAGCAGATCCCGCCGCTTTTGAACGCTAGCAGCAGTGGAGGTGGATCAGCAATGAATTTGCTCTCCAGTTCCATGGCAGTGGGTTGTCACCAAATGCAGCCAAAAGAATGAGCAAATACAATTTACAAAGAGGCTGGTGGAGTCAGCTGGACTGGTGGCTGGCGTCACAGGCACAAGAGGTTCATGACCAAATTATCAAAGCATTGGTGGATGGTGTCAAGACTTGCCAGAAAGACATTGCTGATGCAACAAGCAGCTTATCTTTGGCAATGCGGAAGCATGACAGCCAGCTTCAGGAGATGGCACAGCAAGGGTGGGAATGGTTCGTTGTGCCTTGGTGTGTTGAGGAGGCCTGCCCCATGCTTCCTTCAATCACGCAAAGTGCTCTCAATTTGTCCAATCAGGGAGATAGAACTAACAGCTTCCATAGCAGAGGCTGCATCTTTCAAGCTTGCCAACGCCAGTCCTTTCAGCTGGGATGACTTGGCTCTATCCTGCTGGAATGGTGGCAAGATCAAGGGGTGCGCCAAGGTGATTGGTAAGTTTGGAAGTTCCGGGAATGTGGAAACGCACCCTTACCTTACTGTCCCTGACCGCGCAATTCATTAAGTGAAACGCTTTTGACGATGCATCTGTTCAATTGTCTGCGCGCGGATCTGTACACTCCATCCTGTGTACAAGGCGAAAAGCGAAACGTCTCCGCATGGAAAACATGAAGCATAGCATCATCATTGGCCGCAATTGGGCCTTCCAGTTCTGGTGGTATACCACTCAGACAACTGCGCAGTCTTCCCCATGACCGAAAGCAAGAGGCAGGTGCACCACGTCCGGCTCATCGATCGGAGTACCCGGCGCTGTCTCGCCAAGTACTTCCCACGACAAGGCGACGCATCAGCACTTAGCTCACCCAAACTCCAAAAGAAAGCCCGGCCAGGTCGCAGGTTTTCTTGGGTCGTCGACGTGCCTTGTTCTACCACGCGATAGTCGGGGGTCGTCCGCTTAGTAGTCCGCGAAGTTCCACCAAAAATGGAAGTAAAAGTTGTAGTACTGCGCATAGGCATGAAAGGTGCTGGCTGAAAAGGTGTTACGCTGCGCCCTGCTATCAGCTTGGTTACTCCCTCAACGCGGCCTTGTAGGGTCAGGGTGAGAATACCATCGTTCATGATGCTCCCGAGCGCCCGCCCGAAAAGTCCGCCAGACTATTCAGCAAGCGCATCATCAATCGGGCGCAGGTGCTGGGCCAAGTTCTGACACCGCAAAAACTGAATGGCCGTAAGCTGCACATATCGCAATTGGTTCGACGATACCCGCACATTCGTTGTGTATCCATTGGACCTCCTCCTCGGAAAATCAGTATTTGTTGATCAGTTGCTGCTTGTTCTCCTCGTCACAGCTCCAGCAGAGGATTGAATACCTGGAGTGTCCGCATTGGGCAATCTCGATCCGATGGAAGTTAACACAGGACAGCGCCAGTTGACTGGACGTGTGTTCGTCGCCTCTCCTGGTGACGTACTCGGCGACGTGGTGGTGTGTGGCAAACTCCTTGGAGGTAACCCGTCCACCATCGTCACACTTCACACGCGTCCTTCTGGCGTTGACCTGCTCATGCGCGGGATACCCGATCCGGTGTCGCAAATACTTCACCAGTTCTCTTGAAAAGTTGTTGATTTGGCTTTCCCACTCATACAGGGTAGTATGCAGAGTTCCCCCTGCGCAGGGCTCTCATCCATGACGCACCTGTAATAATCCCACATCCGTCCGCAAGCAACCTGACGCCAAAAGCTTCGTCGGCCTCCTTGTTGGGCAACTTGCGTTCCTCCTCCCCCTCAAGCTCTCCATGGATGACCATAGGAAGTCGGGCCCACCTTGGTAGGATCCCCATCAACTGTGACATCATGGCTTCCATGGTAGATAGATGGCAGTGATGGCAGCTCCTTCAGCAAAATCTCCGTACCATGTGGGCGAAATTTGATGAACGACTCTCGCCGCTCGCGAGTAGGGTTCGACGTGCTTGGCGCAGGCTCTCGTCTCCTTCCTTGACCTTCTTCGCCTTGCCTTTGCTTCGGTGAAGGCAGTCTCCCCGACCTGTCGCAAAACACCGATGGCCGTGATTACTTCTGCTCTTTGGCGCTCGGCCAAGCGGCGCTCGTCTGTTTTACAGATCGGGCAATGATTGACCGCGAGGATCTGATCGATGTTGCGGGATAGCTTTCTCTTCCTCGGACTCAGTCTCCTTCTGTTGTTGCTGCCTTCTTCTTCTCCTCCGCGTCCTTCTTCTTTTCCAGCTTGTCCTTCAACTTTGCCACGTGGACCTCCGTCTTCTTCTGCGCGTCTTCAAACTTGTCCCGCTTGTCCTCAAAACTCCACATTGCGGGGTCCTGCTGCTTTCTCCGGCGCTTCGCGTCTTGCTCAGGGCCGCGATGGTTGTTGATGTCCGCTGGGTGCACCGGGCTCGTTGGGTTCGCCTTCTGAAGAAAGAGCCCACGCAGGAAACTGCGGGCCCTTCTCACATGGTGCCCGCTGCCCGTCAGTCAGCTCCTTTTCCACAAGCTGCAAGGCCTCCCGGGCGATGTCAGCTGCCTGCATTTCCTCCACCACAGCCACTGGCACTGTTAGCTTATTGCGATAGCGAAGCCAAACTCTCTTTATCACGCCCTCCTTTCTCTCTACACCAACCACGATCGCCGGTGCCGTCCATGACACATCATCCTGCAATCGTCGACCATGACCTTGCCGATTTGGCGGAGGATCCCAGAACATCACCTCTGCACCCTCCACCAAGAGCTCCAGCCTGGGCAACCTTGCCCTCAAGGTAGGCGCCAGATGTTGGCCCTCGCTGCCACCTGTCGTATGGCCTTGGCACGATGATAGGCCTCGTCCAGACTGGCCGGCTGACCCACTTGAAACTCGAAGTTCCCGAACTCCAACGCCTGCATCATGTTCCAGCTCTCGTCCAAACACCAACTGGATCGGGGAGAACCCTGCCGCCGCCACCCCTGCCGATTTCGGGATGCGCAGGCTGAAGTAACCGCCGCCTTCATCTTGTCCAACCCATTTACAGAAGCTTCCTTGATCAGCTTCATGAGCAACACCTTCAGCACCGCGCCATGCCTCTCGGCCAAAGCCATCCGCCAACGCGCTCCAGCGAAAACCATGTCGTGGAAGACCGCGAACTTGATATTGAGCTGCTCCGTCTCCGCCGCAAACTCAGAACCTTGGTCAGTCATCAAAATCTCGGGCGGCCCGCAGACTCCATACCACTTTCGCAGCAAGGCCGAGGTTGTCCATTGGCATCCTTCGTAGCTCGGGCGATCTGGTACAGCGAAAATGCGTCCAGCATGCGCGTGACCGCGCACTTCTCCGCCTTGTTGTCCCAGATGTAGAAGGCGTCCATCACCCGCCGCTGGTACGCCGCCTTCGGAACCGTGTTGGGCGGCGCCACCATCTTGCAAACCTGGCATTGAGTTGCTTCTGCTGCCCATTGGATTTCATTCCGCGCACCATTCGTCGACAACATGCGCCTCAGCTTCTCCGGGCCGAGGGCCACATGCAGATGAGCGCTCTTGACCTTCTTCGGAAACAGCGACGCCTGCCCCTCAAACGTGTTATAATCATATCAATGAACTGAGGAGGCGCCAACTGATTCATCCGCTGCCATAAGACACCTTCAGGCGACTGCTCCGCCGCCACTCGCACCGCCTCCCACACCTTGTCGTCCTCGTTCTCCTTGGTCATCTTGAAGTCCTCCGGCGGTATCATCTTCCCCTGCAAATAGCCCACGCAGGCCCCCAGGATGTCCTCACCTGTCTGTGCTCCTTTGCGCCGTCGCGACCAGCCACTCAGATCTTCGCACGACCTTCCACTGGTTGATGTTCTCCAGGAGCATGCTGACACTGAGCTCCTTGCTGCAGCAACTCGGCTACTTCCTGCTTGTTGACTTGCAGGTTTGCGGCCTGTTTACGCGGTTTGCCACTCACCGCGTCACATAGTCCGAAACGACAGTGATGCACCACCACTTCAAAGACTTGCGGCTGCTTCAGGAGAACGAGACGGCCTTGCTTCTCCTGGTACTCCTGCGCTGGCACCACAATATCCTCCCAAAAGGGTTGATGAGCTCCAACTTCTTGCGCTCCTTCACCATCCGTGTCCACGCACACCACGAGCCACACGGTGGAGTCATAGCCATCACCAGCACATCCGGCCGGTGTTCATGCGTTGCCTCCCATAGTTTCTCTCGCCCTGTGGCACTTGAAGGTCCATGCCATAGAGGACGTCCATGGGCATGACCTTCCATCTCCCGTCTTGGTACGCCTGGATGGGCAACATGGCGCTCAAAGACCGCCAGGATCCTCCACGTCATCCAAGCCGTTGCCAGCCGTAGATGATTGCCTTCACGCCTCTCTTCACACACGCATGCTGAACTCGGGACCACCGTCCATTCCCTCCGTCGGTACCCGGCAGCCGTCGTTGACCTGGTAGATCGTCCACATACTCCACGCTGATGATCTTACCATTTGGGCTGAGTGTGATCCGCACCTTCACCTGGCTCCACTCAGGACCTGGTCGAGTAGCCTTATCGCGCTCCACCGCCTTATCCATGCGGATCCACTTCTTCAGCCCGTGCTCCTTCATCGCCTGGTCCAGCTCCTCCTGATCAACGTCCTCGATGCCCCGGGTGTCGTGTGCATGAGCCAGCGTTGGTTCCGCTTCCATCGGGCTTGCTTGAACTCGGGGTCCTTGGTGATGCCCTCCATCAGCAGCCACTGCTTCCATTTGAACGCTCGCCACTTGTCTGCCAAGGCCTTGATGGTGTTTATCGTCATGTCGTCTGAGAAGCCCCTTGACAGAGCCCCCGCACCAGTCTCGGCCTGTTCCAACGCCCCAACTGCCTGCTTGGGCTTGGCGCAACTCTTCGACTTCGCCTTGGGCTCGCGAAGTCCACCTCCTCGTCGTCCTCGACCGGCGCCTTCTGGGCGATCTGCTCCTGCTGCTCCTGCATCATCTGCTTGGCCACCTCCGCAGCGGCGTCCATTGCTGCATTTGCGGATGAGCTTGTTGATGAACTCCCTTTCTGCTCCTTGGGGTTCCTCCTCACTTTCACCCTCTCCTTCAGCTTGTCCTCCGGGAGGGCTTGGACCTCGCGGCCGCGCCTTCCACATCGCTTATCTCCTTGATGTCCTGAGCGTCCTGCATCTCGTCCCATGGGGTGCTCGGCAGGTGGAAATACTCCGGCTTGATTTTTTCCGAGTTCCTGGTCATGGGGCGCAGCAGGGCTCTTCGAATTGGTCGGGGCTAGCGTGCTACCGCTCATTAGCTAGCCGGCTGCGACAGCACACGCAGAGCAAATACCTCAAGCCAGTGGGCATCACGAAATCCTCCTTGACCAAGGAACTGTCGCCCAACTCATCAACCTTAACTATATAGCGGCCTCCCTGCGATTGCTGCACCGTCCCGTTGAGAGTGCTCATAAGTGCTGCAAAATACTTAGTAAGATGGCCTAACATCTCACAACCTCTAGCAAGTTCACGGTTCATTCCAGCACCCACCCACCCACGCACGTACGCACGCAGACATGCAGGCACGCAGGCATGCAGGCACGCAGGCAGGCAGGCAGGCAGCCAGGCAGGCACGCACCCACGCACACACAGAGACACGCAAACATGTCTTGGGCGTGAGTGTTTCTCGTTGCAATGCTGGCACTTGAGGCAGAGCGCCCCCGCCTTCAGTGACTTTCTCATCTGCTTGGGGGTCATCAACAGGGCGTCCCCCAGCTAGCAGCTAGAGCCAATGGCCTCGCTGCGGGCTGTTTGTGCGAGAATTGCCACACGCGCATTCCGATTGCTGGCCATCAATTCATCCGTCGACTCGGCATTGGCAAATGTTTTGACCCTCGCATCTTGTGCCTTCGCATCACACGCATGGACGTGCAAGGCCATGAGACTGAACTAAGAGGCCTACTCTGGCATAAAAAGCTCACCGCTGAAAACAACGCTTCCCTGCACAGGTCATCTGCCTGGAAGAGTCATTAATAGCGTGGGTGAGATTGCAATATCCGCAGGTGACTAAAGGCGGTACAATGTCAATTTCACAAAGGGCGAACTGCCCACACGCGGCGATGCAGAATCTGCAAGCGCCGATAAACCATGATACGTGCTGTTTCGCCCCTCTTACCAGTAGAGCCGGCGAAATATAAACACTACAGTTCTGTTCGTCTTGTTTCTCTTCGTTCTTTTCCTCTTCTTATTTTTGTCCTTCTTGCTGTTCATTGTTTCTTTTCTGTCCGTCCTTCTCTCTTTCTCGCGATCGTTCTTTCTTCCCTTCCTTCCTTTCTTCCTTTCTGCCTGCACTGTTGTCAACCACGCCCCGCACCGCCCACTCCTTTTTTCGCAGCATGTTTTTCGCAAACACCGTGCAGCACTCCACACCCGCGGCCTGAACACCCAGGTTCTTCTGAACATCCCTCTCTCTATCTGTCTATCTTTAAACCAATTTACCTACCTTTCTTTCTATCTATCTATTTATCCATCTCTCTATCTGCCTTTTTATCTATCTATCGATCTATCTCTGTATCTATCTAACTATCTATTGGTCAATCTACCTAGTTATCGTATCTATCTATCGATCTATCTATCGAACCATCTTATATTTCTATCTACCGATCTATCCAACCATCTATCTTTCGATCCAACCGTCTAGTTCCCTACCTATCTATCTAGCTCGCCATCGATCTGTTCCTCTCTCTCTCTCTCTCTCTCGCTTTCTTTCAATCAATCTATCTATCTGTCTGTCTATCTCCCCATCATCTATCTATCTGTCTGTCCGTCTATCTGCCTATCTAATTGGTCGTCTGTCTGTCTGTTTACCTATCTCTCTTTCTTCTTTCTATTTATCCATCTATCTATCTATCGACCTACTTCCTTTCTATCTAGCTATCTATCTCATCTATTCACCTATCCTTTCTTTTTCTTTCTTTCTTTCTTTTCTTTCTTTCTTGCTTTCTTTCTTTCTTTCTTTCTTTATTGCATTATTTCTTTCTTTTCTTTCTTTCTTTCTGTCTGTCTTTATTTCTTTCTGTCTTTCTGTCTTTTTCTTTCTTTATTTCTTTCTTTTCTTTGGTTCTTTTTGCAAATATTTCTTTCTTTCTTTCTTGCTTTCTTTCTTTTCTTGATTTCCTTCCTTTCTTGATTTCTTTCTTTTCCTTATTTCCTTCCTTTCTTTATTTCTTTCTTTCTTTCTTTCTTTTCTTTCTTTCTTTCTTTCTTTCTTTCTTCCTTCTTTCTTTCTCTCTCTAGCTGCGAAAAATGGACTTCGCGTACTACTTTCGTACTTAAAAGTTGCGATTTTCGAGCCCCAGCTGCGAAAGTGGACTTCGCGTGCTACTTTGTCTATCTCTATCTATCTATCTTTACCTCCTTTCCCTCTTTCTGCACCTGTCGATCTTTTCCATACGTCTGTCTATCTTTGTCTATCAATCTACCTATCCATCTATCTATCTATCTGCTCTCTGTCTGTCTATCTCTCAATCTATCTACTGATCTAGCTACCTATTTGTCCATCCATCTTTTGTCTATCTATCTATCAATTTACTCATTTATCTTTCTCCCTAGTCTTTCTCATCACATCTATCTAAACTGTTGAGGCGGTCTAACGTTCTATCTATCTATCTATCTATCTACTTATATAGGTTGTAACTATGCATCATTATCTATCTCTCTTTCTATATTCATCCATCCGTCTATCTACCTATCTGTCTGTCTGTC